AGCATTTGATCATATATAAATTACAAAATTGTCATTATAAAGATGATAAAGTAAGGTTATTTTAGGCAAAACATATTTTTACAGATTCATTGGTACTTTTATAATAGTATATATATATATATATATATATATATACAAAACATATTTTTACAGATTCATTGGTACTTTTATAATAGTATAGATAGATATAGATAGATAGATAGATAGATAGATAGATAGATAGATAGATAGATAGATAGATAGATAGATAGATAGATAGATATAGATATAGATATAGATAGATAGATTAACTTTTGGTCATTTGTTTATCTTTAGGTACGACAACATTTAAGAACATATTGGCCAGTACTTGCTGCCGAATTACCAGACAAGGTGATTAATAAAACATCTCCAGTCGTGGTAAGATCCATCTTTATCCTTCTGTCTATAGAAATCTTCTTTATAATATATTCAAGATTTTGTGTGGTAATTGATAGTATATTTTCTTCTTCCGGGTCATCCATTTTCATATTTTCATATCTTGGCTACTTATGACTCTATTCGTTAATCGCAGATATCAAGCTCCGATTCTGAAGACGAGCATGATAATACGCCATCAAAAGAAGTTCAGAATATTGATGACATTATACAACCTTTGATGAACCTCAAAGTCGAAGATAGTCAAGGTAAAGAAGCACATCATACTTCTGTCCAAATCTAAAATATTTTATGTTAACTTTAGGAAGCACCGTCCAAATGCAGAACGAGAAGCAACTACTGTTTCGTCTTCATGGAGATCGGACCTTTCTAAAGTTTATGTTTGGTATGCAACCTACGGATCAAACATGAGCAAATCCAGATTTTCGTGCTATATCGAGGGTGGACAGGTAAAGTACATTGCCTTTTTTTTAAAATAAAAATAAAAGATTAAATGTCATTATGGATCCTTCAAATTTGTATATGTTGTTCATATATAGCATGCATTTACTTTTCATTAATCTCTCAATCGACATAAAATTTCCAGACAGAAGGTATGAGAAAGCCATGCGCGGGATCAATGGACAAAAGCAAGCCTAAGGAAGTTATGTGGAAGACTTTCCCTCATCGTCTTTTCTTTGGTCGTGAAAGCACGATTACATGGGGCCCTGGAGGCGTCGCATTTCTTCATCCTGAAAGTGGTGCCGAGGAGAAAACTTATTTGTGTCTGTACAAAATTACGTATGTTACTTTCATCCTTTTTTTTTTTTACTGTTCTTAATTACTCTACTACGGCTTAAATCATATTCGGGAGAGGTTTACTTACGGATTTATTGCAATACAAATACCGAAGTTTTTTCACCTTTTTCTTTTCCTGATTGTTTATTTTATTCTGTATTTATTTTTTCTTCTTTGGTCTTTAGGCTGGAGCAATTTAACGATGTGCTGCTTCAGGAGAATGTTTCAAATTATGACATGAGTCAGCCGCTATTTGATTTGAACGCATTACACGCTATACAAACTGAAAAGTCCTTCGCAGCAGAGCCAGTCCAGGTAGAAATGATCTTCAGCAACTCAACTGCACACGATTATCATCCTAAGGATAAAATCAATAGTCTAATTGAAGTCTTTTTTTATTTGTTATATAGATCATAGACAAATTTGAGTTTATCTCAAGGGTTTAAAGCATAACTCGAAATCTAACAATGCCTTTATGTTTCTGCTGTCAAGAAGCACGATAAAAGGAAGTTATTAGATTATTTGCTGTTATTTACCAGAGAACAAAAACCCGTTCACAATGAAATGATTTTTCCAGTTGCGGTATCTTTTAATATCTTCATATAATTGATGATTATTATTTCATTGACATTATTTTTATTGTTAATGCAGAGAGGCTGGTACCACAATGTTGTTTATTTGGGAAAGGAGAAAGACATTCCAATTCTCACAATGACGTAAGTATATACGCTTTTATCCTTTTGAGTTTTGACGAACGTAATTTCACATTTATCTCTCTCTGTTTCTTTCTTTCTCTTTTTTTTTTTTTGGTGCCTGTATATGTGATTTAGGTGCACTCGTTCGCATGTTAACGACTTCATATCTGGTAAATACCCGATCAACCCACCATGCAAAGAGTATGCTAATACATTGGTTAGAGGGCTCGTGGAGGGAAAGCAGCTCTCGGGAAATGAAGCCATAGCTTACATACAAGAAGCATCTACGAAGCCCCTCGTTTAGTATAGCGTGTTGACATTTCTCTCCGACTATGAATAGTTTCGATCATGGTATGTTTTGTGCAGCTTTCGATTATTGTGGTATTATTTATGAAGATATGGAAGTTGCCATTAGTAATTAGATGGCATTTGGTTGGCAAAAGGACTCGTTTTGGGCTACTTTCTATTGTTTTTTTGATTTGCAGTAGCTGATTTCCCAGAATCCTGGAAAGTGTGTATTTCTTGTCACTGTGTATATAATTTGACCTTAAGTTCTATGTTGTAAAGGTTTAAATTATATATATACTATTTTTATCTTATTATATACGGATAAATAATAAAAAATAATATATATGTAAATTTTATATCTCAGAGTCTTTTTAATAATTTTGTAATGACTTATGGATATTTACCCCAAATATATACACATATTTTATTTTTACAAAATAAAAAATTTAAATGGTTGGGTCAGATTGACTGTTGACCCGACCTTATCATGCCCGCATAGATTGGATTTGGTTTGGTAAATTCTCCGGGTCGATTTGCCCCGAATAAGCCGGGTTAAAAATCATTTCTTAAAACATAGAAAACCATGGCTGAAACTGCTTTGTGGACAATTTGATATTTAATTCAAATTTTTGCAATTTAATTTGCGTGATATGAATAATTTTGTTTGCAATTTAAAATTGGCGTAATATTCATACCCATGTTTTAAATACCGGTTCGTACCGGCCGGTATTACCGGTAATACCGGATACCGGTAGTCCGACCGGTACATTTACACTCAAAATACCGTTTTGGCCAAAATACCGGTTTCGTACCGGAAAATACCGGTTTTACCGGCAAATACCGGCCAAAATACCGGTCAAAATACCGGTTTATGCCATTTTTTTTTTTAAAAAAATATTTTTAATAAATTTTTATTATTTTATTTATATAAATTGTAATTTCTACACTTAACTTTAATATGTTTATATTGTTATTAGATGTTAATTTATTTTAGTATTAATTAAAGTTAGTTTTGTATATTATTTATATAATAATAACAAATTAATTTAATATTTATTAAAACCGGTAAAATAGACGGTAATACCGGTCGTACCGGTAATACCGCATACCGGTCGCTACACCGGTATGACGACCGATACGGTTTTTAAAACATTGATTCATACTAATTAAATAACTGTACTTACAATTCATCTAATTAATCCCCATAGAAAAATTATCATTTTGCGTAATATTGAGAATGTATAATCTTTAAGACTCGTCCACATAAAATTTACACAGCATTCTGTCTTCTGTCACTTTACCTATCTTAGGTTGAAAGTATTTATTTGCCGACTGTATATGATTACATGGATTATTTATCAAAAAATTGGCAATTGCGGCCGGACGGCCATGTGGTTGGCCTACCGGCTATTGCGGCCGACCGCCACCTTGCGCGGCCGGTTTGACCGGCCGTCTGCACGGCTTTTTTTTTAATTTTTTTTTTTACTTTGTGAAAAAATTGCCCGAGACAAAACTGTTCAGAGAATACGTAATAATAAAGGGGACGGTGAATAGTATGCAACATCGTCAAGAGAGGACTGGCACTCCATGCACGTTAACAGCTATATTTGACAAAGATGCTTCACCAAAGGACCCCCAAATTAACTCCCAATTCTTTCTTGCCTTAGCCTTGGGGACAAGACAATCATCCCTAAAAACCCCCCAATAAATTAATAAATAAATATATACACACAATACAAACATACCCCGTATATTCTCTATTGGTTGGGGTCTGGGGGGTCAGTTGTACGCAGACCTTACCCTTGTAATTATACAAGGAGACTGTTTCCGTAGCGACCCAAGGTGCATTGCGTCGTTTGATATATTTTTTTCTAGAAACTTCACTAATAGATGAAGCACCAGAATTTAATTGAGTCATTTGGATCTAGTTCATTATTAGCACTATATGCCAGGAAAATTGTCAACAATGACTACATTTGCAATAGACAATAATAAATAAATAAATAAATAATAATTACTGTCCCTTTCAGTCTAAGATTCCCAAGTCACAACACACTCCCTACGTATAGATAAAATAATTTAAAATAATGATCAAAAGGTGTCACGTTTTTCTCTTCTCCACCAAACTAACCAATCCCCCCAAATTCACACAATCATGCGTTTGCTTTCACGTATAAATACCCCCTGTGATCCCACCTTTCACTCTTGCTAGCTAGCTCATCACCATAATCTAACAAAACACATACACACACACACAATGGTCATTGAGCAAAACCTGTCGTCCAAGAAAGTGTGCGTGATAGGCGCAGGGCCCGCGGGCCTGGCCGCAGCCCGCGAGCTCCGTAAAGAAGGCCACGACGTGGCAGTCCTGGAGCAGAGCCACGACGTGGGGGGTCAGTGGCTTTACGACCCGAACGTGGACCATGAGGGCCCGTTGGGCCCACCGAAAGTCCACAGCAGCATATACAGTTCCCTGAGGCTGACCTCTCCGCGGGAGATAATGGGCTTCACGGACTTCCCGTTCGTGGCCCGAAAGGGAGGAGACATGCGGAGGTTCCCGGGCCACGCGGAGCTCCTTTCGTACTTGCGCGGTTTTTGCGAGAGGTTCGGGTTGAGGGAGGTGATTAGGTTCGGTACTCGAGTGGAGCGTGTGGAGATGTTGGATTACCCTGTTTTGGAGAAGGATTTGAGGTGGGTTGTGAAGAGTGTTAAGGCGGAGAAAACGGTTGAGGAAGTTTACGATGCGGTGGTTGTGGCCACCGGGCATTATTCGCACCCTCGTTTGCCCAAAATCGAAGGTATATATATGGCGTAACTAACCAATTATGAAACGGAAATTAATTTGTTTCTGTTGTATGTTAGTAACTGAAAATGACCCTTAAGCAACAATAATTTGCGTTTCTGAATCTCTAATTTCTAGTAGTGATATAGGTCCATCGAGAAACATTTTTTCCGTTCTTCGTGAAGTTAAGTTTTCGAAATCGTTATCTGTTCTTATAAGTGGTTTGTTTGTGTAGGAATGGATGCATGGAGGGGAAAGCAGATGCACAGTCACGTCTATAGGGTCCCGGAGAGCTTCAAGAATGAGGTAATTAAGAGAAAAATTAAAGAATTTCATCAAGAACTTGTGATCATTTTTTTTTTTTTTTTGGGAAAATTTCATAACTTAATTGTTAGGTGGACATAAATTGTGCAAAACTTTCATAACTTAATGTCACATATATATCTTAACATTTCACATTTGAAGTAAATATATACATTATTCAGTCAAAAAATATGACGGGTAGACCAGACTAACGATTAGACCGCCTCACAACACCTAGCATGCTTTGTAGCTTCTAATTAGCAATGAAGCAAAAGTAAAACATAATAATTACATGGTGGGACCAATATTGGAAAGATTTCCTCCTAAGGAAAGTTTCAATGCAAAGTGTAACATGTACATGCACACCTAATCTCAATTAATTAACACAAAATTTGATCATTTTTTTTTAATTTTCTTATTGGGAGATTTTACGGTCCCGTTACGAAATCATTCTGTCGGGATTTGTAACCGTTGGATCAACTATCCGTGACGGTTACATGATGATCTAACGGTTTTCAAATCCCGACAGAATGGTCCGTAACGGGACTGTGATATTTCCCTTTCTTATTATCTTTTTCCTCATTCTTTACAGGTAGTTGTGGTTGTTGGGAACTCATTAAGTGGTCAGGACATATCTATGGAGCTTGTGAATGTGGCAAAAGAGGTTCACTTAAGCTCCAAATCCCTCAACATTTCACAAGGACTGTCAAAAGTCATCTCTAAATATGATAATCTACACCTTCATTCCCAGGTCTGTTATTAAACCTCACAAGTCCAAAAACAAGTATAACAATTGCAATAAAGTACTTTTTGACCATATATTTTGCAGATAGAGTCACTACAAGAGGATGGAAAGGTTTCGTTCGCCGACCGTTCTTCGATCACGGCAGACACTATCGTATACTGCACGGGGTAAAAACGCTAGCTAGCTTTATCGAGTTCGATTTATTTATCTATATACAAAAGTACAGTAAATACATTTTTCACTGAATTTATGAGAAATGGTAATAGTGTAACAAGTGGGATATTTTTTTCAGGTACTCTTACTCATTTCCATTTCTTGATACCAAAGGAATAGTTGTGGTGGATGATGACAGGGTGGGCCCTCTTTATGAGCATACCTTTCCTCCTTCTCTGGCTCCTTCTCTCTCTTTTATTGGCATTCCAAGAAAGGTAAACACAGATATATACATTTCAATGACGATAATTTCTACGTAAGATAACGCTAAGAACCAATCGAACACCAGATATTTCTTGCCAAGATGTGATTTTTCGGCTTTCTTGACGAAATATTCTTGTAGTACTCTGGCCCCGGCCGACAGAACGGTGCAAAGTGAAAAAAATCGAGTAGTTTTAGACCGTTTAATGCCGAAATTTTGTTAGTTCTCATTGCAAAGAAAACAACATAATTTCGAAGCAACTTTTTGTTGTTGATATTGTAGATTATAGGTTTCCCTTTCTTTGAATCCCAAGCAAAATGGATTGCTCAAGTCCTGTCTGGGAAAAAGATGTTGCCATCATGGGATGATATGATGCAATCAGTCAAGGAGTTTTACCACTCAAGAGAAGTCAATGGCATCCCCAAGCACAACACCCATGATATTGCATGTTTTGAGGTAAAAAAAAAAATAAAAAAAAATAAAAAAAAAAAGTGATAGCTACTTTTTTATCGGTAAATGTAGATTTATAGATCAAAACTGGAGTACAAACAACATACAAAAGCGCAGTGGGCAACCACAAGTTCGGCTCCTCACTCGCGGATAGTAACTCTAAAAGTGATAGCTACTTAAAACTACTTCTTGATATTATTTGCCTTACATTTTCAATATGGAGAGTATATAACACCTACATTACATTCACATCATTGGTGTAATTATAACAAGTTAACAACAAGCCAACATAATAATTCAATAGATTTGTTTGGTACCATACATAAAGCTTTGTGCAATTGATTTCTCTGTTTTTCCAAGCAGTATTGTGATCAATACGCGGACCACGTCGGGTTCCCACACTTGGAAGAATGGAGGAAAGAGCTGTGCCTGTCGGCCTTGAGAAATGCCGAGATAAACTTGGAGACGTACCGTGATTCGTACGAGGAAGATCAAGAATTGCTTCAAGTTGCTTTTAGCAGCCCTCACTTCACTCAGTTTGGACAAGAAGATCATACATTCTGAATTATACCTTTTCTTTTCCTATTTTTTATTATCCGATCACACGCTCTTTATGCGTATACGTTGTTTTCGGTAGTAGTAGACCAAGATTGCCACCATGCACAAGCCAAATGAATTGAATGAGGCCAAACAATTTTATCTATGTAGTGAAGAAGAGAAAGTTTTGTTGTTCTGTTTCAGTTTGATTTGTACTGTATAATTTGAGATGCTCTGTATTTCTCAAATGAACTTAAAAAATGGATCAAATATCTTGCATCACAAATTTTGTTGTGAAAGAACCTAGTGGTTAGATAATAGATGGTAGATCCGTTGAAGTTTTTGAATAAAATTGCATATTTATACTTTAAAATACTATTTTATTTATCTATATTGATATTTTATTTATCTATATTGATATTAAAAGTTGAATAAAATTGCATATTTATACTTTACAATACTATTTTATTTATTTATATTGATTTTAAAAGTTTGACATTATATTAGTTCGTATATTTATCTGTATCTATCTCTCTATACTTTGAGTAAAATTTTTAAAATGACACTTAATTTTGCACAATTTAAATTCCATATAAAATTTTCAATAAGTCAATATAGATAAATCGTAATGATTCCATATTTTTAATTTATAAATATTATTTAACGAACATTTTTAATTTATAAATATTAATGAATATCTCTTACCCGTGCATCGCACGAGATTCGCACTAGTTTATGAATGAATAAAGAGAGTATTTCTTATTACTCGTTTTTCCAAATATCAAAATTGAGTAAAGTTCATGTGTCTATAATTTTGATTATATCACCTTGTCATATAAAAGAAACTTCTCATGTTTAAAACGCCAAGAACGGTTTATTTAGAGTCGAAACACTACATGCACAATATATATATTACAATCCGAATACAAAGTATACCCAGGGTGCCCTGGAAATATTAGTATCGTATGGCGAGGATGAACATTTCAATGCTTCATGCATAGTTCAATCACGTGGGCTGGTATGATGGTCAAGTCTCAAGCTGAGGCATCAAGTGATGCATCCACATGGCCATACTTGGAGATTAAGTTCCTTGATGAAGGTAACCCTGCAACTACATCTTCTTCAATGCCACATTCATTCGTTCCTCTTCTAATCATGAAGTACCCATCCTGCAAACCAATAACAGCTTCATCAGCATTCCAATTCTTTTATTGCAGTTCAACATCAGAAGTAAGCAGCAGCGACTAGCAGCAGAAACAAGATACTGCAATCATTTTTGGGTACGAATTAATGATTCCTTCTAAAATAGTTCCCACACGTTTCCTTAAACTAGAATGAAAATATCCTAAAGTAGTTAATATGTAGTGGATAAAGTCCTAAATTCTGCACAAGTGATACTGTAAAGATCTCAAGGAAGAGTTCAACAGAGCACGCACATCACCCCAGCTTTTATTCCATTGATTTGCTAAAAGCTGCATCAAAAAAGTCAACGTAAGTATGGATTCCAACAAAAAATTATCAAAACTGATTGAATCTTCAAGATTTAAAGCCACTAAGTACCCAATAGTCCTCCTCTTCGTCGGTAGTTCCCCAACCTATCAGCTTAACTGCATGACCTCCCATCTGATCCCCTGTTAAGTGTTTATAAACTCCTGATTTGTAGTGAGCAAAATCCTGCAACAAATTTGGAAGCACTGATCAACCACAAGGGTTTCAAGGTTGAAATAAAACAATATTGCTCAGGTCTGACAATGCAATCTTAAAGAGAGGTCTTATATCTCAGAAGCAAGCTGGCACATAAAGACAACATCCTAACTGTAACATAACTCCATGAGAATCAAGATACAAATCCAATCATTCGCTTAAAGCTTATAAGAGTTCAGTAAAAAAAAAAAAAGAGAGAGAGAGAGAATAAGTTATGTTTTTTACCTCATACACGGTGAATGAGACCTCTACTGGTCCGTTTAAGAAAACTTCAGCCATTATATTGTATGGATCAGAACTGATTTTATATGCATTGACACTGAAGTGCTTAGATTTATGCCAGAAAAGGTTTTGTTTTTTGCATCTCTTCTGACACTTGGGAGTTGGATACGCAGGCTCGCAACCAGGATGTGAGCATCCACTATTGTCAAAATAGGGATCACACTGTCAAAGAAAACCTTCATCATCAAGTGTTTTCATACACACATAAGTTCTATGACAGACTCATATTGGTCAACAGGCAGAGTGAAGCATCTCTACATTAGCATAATGACTTAGAAACAGGCAGAGTGAAGCATCTCTACATTAGCATAAGGACTTAGATGCTAGCATTCATAATTTTAAAATCTGGCATCTCCATATTCTTGTTTCTCACAGTAGACAATATTCTTGTTTCTCACAGTAGACAATGCTACCTCTTCAGTTACAACACCAGTATGGACAAAGTATCTCCATGCTGATATGGGGTACCCTCCATCACAACCATCACCACACATAAAGCCGCAACATGCTAAGAGATCATTGACAGAGAGGGAAATGTTCTACAAAATAGAGAACCGGCACAATGTTAAAATTATTGTTATGATTATCATAAGAAATTGCCCACAAATGGAGATTTGATGTTCATAAACATTACCAAGCTGAAATGAATACAGAAACGGTCAGAGAGAGCCTCGACTGCACCAAAAGCCCAACAGGAACCGCAGTGGCCCTAACAATTCATAAGTAAAAGGATTTGGCAAGAGTCTTGGAGTACCGTTTGATAATAAAGAAAACATGTCTGAGAATCAAGTTACCTGATCTTTGAATTTCAAACGACCCAAATCAGACGGAGAAGGGAAAAAGTTAGAATATCTCTGATTATGAAACATAAGCCGATAACAACAAACACAACTGACCAAGAATTTCCCCGATTGTTCTACACTGAGGCCAAGCAACTCGTGCATCAAACGTTTTTGGCAGCTTCAGACCTTCTTCATGAGCAATAACAGGAATTCCCCTCAACTCACCTTCTGGCATGGGTTTGACTCCGAGAAGGTGCATAAATTGGCCAACCTGGGTTCAGATTGTTACAATAAAATTAGTTAATATATATGTCGAGCATAAAGGTGACCAATTCTCTGCAGAAAACAGGAACAAGAAACTCACTGTATAGTTGGAAAATCGAGGGTTCATAGAAGCTTTCCATCCAGCTTCAGCATTACCATTAACTGATTTAACTATGGAGTCCTGCATCACACTATGCAGTTTAGCCTGACTATACACATCAATGATTCTGTTAATAATTTGTACCAAAGTACCTGAAGAATTTGACTGCCGAGTTTCAGCCTTAGATCACGGTTACCAGCAATGACCTGCAGAGAATTTTGAAGAAACCATAAATCAAGTGGATAGTTCTGGTGACGTCGAACATCTCTCAAATGCTATTAAAGGGCTGAAATCAAGGAAACCGGGAGAACTCATAACAAGCTTCATTATAAGCAGCAAGATCTATTCAACAGCTTTCCTTTAAGGCTGTAAGTTTCAGTGCGAGACATAACAACAGTCAAATGATCATCTGGTTCAGAAACAGATTGAAGGTGCAAAAGTCATAATATCTGGGAAGCCCTTGAGGACTAATAGATGCTATGCGATAATCCAATTAACCGGACGGCAAAAAAGCATAACAACTCAACAAAATGAAGTTCATATTGCTTCTTGATATGCTGCTAGAATAATAATAATAACAGCCTCCTTCCCTAAAATTAAACTTGATTCCTCACTCAACCCAGATGAAACAATTGAATAAGAACTCTACCCAACTGAAATAATTGAATAAGAACATCAGAAAGGGCAAGATAAAAGTTAAGATAATAAGCAATCGAAGGAGGTTAAAGAGTGGTGATCGATCATTACCAGTTGCTGCTGAGGCTCTAAAAGTAGAAAGATGATGATGATGATGAAGCAGCAAAATACCCCAGCTGCCATTGTTTACTGATACTCTCCTGCAAAATTCACAACCAAGACTCGTGTATTAGATCTAACAATCAGTATTTGCTTGCTCAGATTAATGCCCGTCTGATTGCGTCCGGCAGCGACTTTATCTCCTTTAATCTTCTTCTCCGGCGACTAATTGATCTGGGGAGGGATGGTCGGATTCGAAATATCTGTAAAGTATTTCTTGTGTGAAAAGACATTAGACTGTATATACAAATCATAGGGAGGAAAATGGATTAATTTCATGTGATTGTTTTTTT